TAGCAATGAGAAGGAAGTGAAATCCACATGTCCTCCTGATCCAAGGTCACGTAAAAAATGCAAGTAGAAAAATAGGGACCACTTTGGTGGGAAGGCAACAGTATTCCCTGCGCCTTTGGCATTTAGTCATGCCACATGATCACAGAGACGTCTTCAGACAGCTCTGGCTCTTCGGCTTTGAAATGGATATGAGCAACGCCCCCTAGAGTTGGGAACGACTAGCACATACAGTATGTGCGAGGGGAACATTTACCTTTTACGTGACCTTGGATCAGGAGGACATGTGGATTTCACTTCCTTCTCATTGCTAATGGGTGGCAGCTGCTCCTGGTCCTTACCTGGAGCCTCCTGGAGCCTCCTTAACTGCAGCTGCAGCTTGCCTCGCTTAGCCTCAACCTGTGGCTCATCCAATCCACCCAGCTGCGGTTTCTCTGTCAGGCTAGCGCTCTCCCAGCCCCGATCCAGACCATCGCTCAGCTCCGGGTTGTCCTCTGCTCACTCAAACCCATCCGTCTCCTCCTCCAAACACGTTTCTGGAGAGGGGTCCAGAGGCAGATCCATGACAGCATCTTGGAGTATTTTATATTTAACCTTTTTTAAAAAAAATTCTGTTGCCATACAAACTTCAATAGATCTTTCTGCTATTGCTTAAATGATATATAAGATGTCAGAATATGTAGTGTTTGAAACAAAAACATCATTCCTGGCAAGGGATTCATCTTTATAACAGGAATGTTATAAACTAAAATTACAAAAATGGTAATTGTAATGTTACCTTGTTAAAAAAACAACAGCATCCATAAAGAAGCTTATATCATGATTTGAGGAGGGAGTTATTGCTTTTAAATTGGGGGATGGAGTAGGCTCTGGCACTAGTACTAGGTACTAGTAATACTCATTAGTGCATAGTCCATTATCACCAGACTTTGATACTATTTGCAAGTAGTTTTTTCACTCAATACCAAAAGATGCTCAGCACGGGCACATTTTTATGTTAATCTCTGCAATACTGAATCATAATTTTACAAGGTACTTATGCAGATTTATTTCACACTTAGGATCGATAATTGTGAATAAACTATTCTAGAGAAATATTGTCATGGAATATGGTTTGTAAACCTTAGATAGAGGGTTTTTCTTTAGAAGGCATTGTGCCAGGACTGGCAATGATGACTTCAAAATTAAGAAGGGTGATTGTCCATTGTACAGTTTGATGCTTATATATCTGTGAGCTTTCCATCACTTCTGGTAGATAATTTGCAGTATATTTGGGGCAGTTTGCAGATTAAGAAGTTGTTTAATAAAGTTGTTCATTTATTAAATTCTGAGGAATGGTGAAATACAAAAATGCATATTCTCTTCCCTTTGTTATTTGTTACTTTTTTCCAATAGAATATGTAGGTAAAAATGCTTCAAACTCAAATTGATTAAAGGGTTTTGTTTTTTTTCCTCCCCTTTGCTAGAAGGGATTTTAAAAAAAAATTAAAAAAAGCTTTAATCTGGATTTGTTGTAAAAGAAATAACATCATTTGCTTCGATTTATATTAGTCAGTTGAAGAGGATGCTGGCTGGATGATTCTGCAAGTTGAAATCTACACATCTTATAGATGCCAAGGTTGAGAACACTGCCATAGTGTCTCTTTATCATAAAGAATTGGTTTCAGCAATGGGAGCATTAATTAGGCTATATTAGAGCGACTTGTGTGTGTTTCGTAAAATATGCTTTATTTTAAAATTAGGGCTTCCTGTTGCAGCTGTTCCAGGAGCGCTGAGTCCTTTGGGGATTCCAAATGCGGCGGCGGCAGCTGGCCGTGTGGGTATGCCTGGAGTTTCAACTGGTGGCAATACAGTCCTTTTGGTTAGCAATTTAAATGAAGAGGTTAGTGTATCTTACTCTCTCTTCAGCATTCTTTTTTCTTTAAATCATGCTTCATTCTTTTTTAAATTCTTATGTACGTTCTTATTTTGAGCTTGCTTCCATATCTTAAGATTTTATTTATTCATGTTACTTCAGATTGAGTTATGGCTGGATTCCCGTATGCTCTATATTGTTAAATACTTTTGATTTTAGAGGTATAGCCTTTTTAAAATAACCCTTTCCTACTTGGCTACCTACGTTTCATTTAAAAAACAAACAAACTAGAGAGCGTAAACACTGCATGTTCTGCATATTTTTTTAGCTTATTTTGTAGCTCTGAGTGTGCTCCATTTTGAAATATAGAATTTAATAAAACTGCTATTTTTGTTGTTAGCGTCGTTCCTTTGCTTATTCATTTCATGCTTACACATCTCTGCTCTTTTTGTTGTATTAATGTATGTGAAAAACTCTAACAAATTTTTCTTTGAAGGTTCCTCCCAGCGATCTTGATGCCGCACTCTTCAATCTCTCTTAGTAATTTTTCTTTTCTTTTGCGGTTGCTATTCATTTTGTCTCCTTTTTAGAACACCTTTGTTTTATTATTTCCTTAACTCTGAAGTCTGAGTTACTTTCAGTTTTGCATTTTATTGCCTTGGATCTTTACTTTGACTTGCTGTGGGAGCTGGTATGAAATGTGGGATAGTTTGTATTGGTTTGTCTACTTTTGACTATGTGTTCCATTTGACTGGCCTCTGTTTTAATATTGAACCATTCTACTTCTCTCATTTTCGTCATTCATAGTCTTGCGTGTTAAAATGCTTGAATCAGAGTGCCATTTGAAAGACTTCTCCCTGCATTTCATAACCAGACATGCTTATGCAGTTAAAGTTTAGAGGATTTTTTTTTTTCCCTTTAAGTCTCTATTGCATGTTTTTTTTTCATGTTCTATTGAAATGTAATTTACTGTATGATATGGATGTACTTTACCCATATTTTGTCTTGGGTGACTACATTTTACTCAGTTTTTCTTGTACAATACATAAACCAACCATTTTCTGACCAAATTCCTGCATTTCCTATGTACTGACCTATATTTTATTTTTTTTTTTTTGTTCCCCACTTCCTTATTTTTCTTCTGCATTGCTGTTTCCCTTCCCCATTTCATCTTCTCCCTGTGTGCTCACCTCCCCTTTCCCTGTCTCTTCCCAAATTCCCACACCCTCCCCTATCCTATCCTTTGCATTCCTTGTCTACACCCCTGTCTCCACCCCCTATGTTCTTGCTTCTGTGCTTGAACAAAATGTTCCTCGGACCAACTTGCCCCAATTAACCGCCTTGAACCATGATCCATGACCACCTCACCATTCTGCGGGAACCACCCTTCGTTATGGATGATCTGTTCATCTCCGCTCTTCCTCGACTCTTCTCTCTTCTTGTCTTATGCTGCTTGCTCTTCTCTCCTTCTAAAGATGGTTACGCCCCAAAGTCTGTTTACCCTCTTCGGTATGTTATCGTTAGCACTATACTTTTATTATTGATTTAATTATTTGTTTCACCTTAATTCTTATTTATAGCTAGCAGTTTGGCTTAAAGTTGAACAGTAAATCTTTTGCTATTTTTCTTTTGCTATTTTTAAACTCCATAGATGCAAACTTTTCTTTTAATGCATGCGATTTTATTTTGCATGGTCTTTTATTTAAAACCATTCTCATAGCTTTGAGGGTATATCAAAAATGTCTTCCTTTTTTCAAAATCCACCTATTCAAAATCTTGTTCTTCTTATTCATTTGTGTGAATGCTGGAAGAAGTGAAAGATCTGTCCGAATGTTTCATTGATGTTTCAACGTATTCTGTTTAGCTATATTTAAAATACTGTTTCTTTTGGGTTACTTTTCTAATCCTAAAAAGGTGTTTATGGGGATGTACAACGTGTGAAGATTTTGTACAATAAGAAAGACAGTGCTCTTATACAGATGGCTGATGGAAACCAGTCACAGCTTGGTGAGATTAACATGTGTTTTTTTTTCTCTTCCATTTCATTCTTGGTTTTCAGTATTTCTTAAAATTGTTTGGGAAACTGTTCATATGTCACAGTTTATAAAACCACAAGATTTCTGTTGGGGTGAATAAAGTCTGTAAAGTTGCCTCATACGTTCTACAGATAGATAATTTTTTTCTGAACATGAGGCTTTTCAATCGGACAGTACAATGTCAGGATTCAAATTTACTTTTCAGTGGATGCAGCTACAGACTTTTTTTCTGGATGTTTCGGTTTTTCAGATCTCAACTCTCTGTACCTATGAGGTAATTTATTAATTGCAAAGCTGCACCTGTGATGGATGGATAGTTAAATAACAGAATATTGCAGATTCATGCTCTTTTCTTCCGAGGTTGCATTAACAATAATTTTATCTTTAAGAAAGGGAATGAGACTAATGAGAGTAATTCATTAATTTACCTACTTATGTTAAACATAATCTTATTTATAAGAAGTGGAAGGAGAGTAATTTTTTATGTACATGTCATGTTATGTAATTCTTTTTGATTCTGCTCCAAAATGCACCAACTTACAAAAATGCATTTACTGTCTGAATAAAATAAAGTTCTGAAACATGTCTTTTTAGATTTGTATCATAAAATTGATCTGCCTAATTACTGGTAGAAATTAAATCATCTGATTTTTACATTAAATAAGTCATTTTTCCCTTTTTCTTTTGAATATACAGTGATGTGAATGAAACTTAGAAATCAGTTTTGATTTTAAGTAGAAATTCATTGAAATTCAGTAATAATTCAACAAAAAAAGAGTTCTAGACAGCCGTGGAAAATTTGGAATGTAAAATGACAGAGACATCAACCTTCCTGCCTGCAAGGGCTTGCTTATTGAATGCCCTTTTCAAATAGGAAGGCCAGGCTTCTTTGTTAATCTCTTTTCAGTACTAGGCATTTTAAGACATTCCTTTTTTCCAAGGATTTCTATACTATGTTACTTTGATTGAGATTAGATATCACTATCCACTGGAATCGTAAATACTAAATTTAATTATTTTATTTTAGAGTTCATGGGTAGTCTAGATACATGAAAAATAGGTAGGTAGGAAGATAGGTAGGTAGGTAGGTAGGTAGGTAGGTAGGTAGGTAGGTAGGTAGATAGATAGATAGATAGATAGATAGATAGATAGATAGATAGATAGATAGATAGATAGATAGATGATAGATAAAGAAAGAAAGAAAAAGATTGAATATACTATGCTATTTTTATTATTTAAATTGTTTTTCTATTAGTTTTTTAAAATTTTAAAAACTACTCTTTGAGAAATCTCCAGTATTTCAAATAACTTTGATATTGGGCAGATGAAAAAAAATTGCATCTTTTTTCATGTCTTCATTTAATAAAACAAAGAGCCACTAGAGGCTCATTTTAAAAACAATAACGATATCAAAAAGTTATATTATTAAATTGTTATAAGGACTAAAGCACATAATCTTCATTATTTTTGTTTAGCTATGAGCCATCTTAATGGGCAGAAAATGTATGGCAAGATTATTCGTGTTACTCTTTCCAAACATCAAACAGTTCAGCTACCTCGAGAAGGTCTCGATGACCAAGGCTTAACAAAAGATTTTGGCAATTCACCTCTTCATCGTTTCAAGAAGCCTGGTTCGAAAAACTTTCAAAATATTTTTCCTCCATCTGCAACTCTTCATTTATCTAATATTCCGTAAGTCTTGGCTAGAAAATTCCTTGAAAAATTCATGTAAAAGCCAAATGTAGCTTTTAATTCTTTCTTGTTTCTCTTCTCTCTTTTACTTCTTCTTCTAGACCGTCAGTATCGGAAGATGACCTGCGCATGTTGTTTGGTAATACTGGAGGCACTGTGAAAGCATTTAAATTTTTTCAGTAAGCACATTTTCTTTGAAACTTCATTTAAAATGAGGTAGCAGCTGTCCTTGGTAAGAATAGGTTTTATATTAAAACTTCCTTGTATTGTTTTCGTATCTAATTTCATTGCTTTGTTCCAGAAGAGATCACAAGATGGCCCTTCTTCAGATGTCAACAGTAGAAGAAGCTATCCAGGCTTTGATTGATCTGCATAATTACAATCTTGGAGAAAATCATCATCTGAGAGTTTCTTTTTCCAAATCAACCATTTGAAGTGAGATATCAAAATAATAAGGTTGTATCACATTGTTTAGTGTTGTCATCTATGACTGTTCGGGAAAGCGGGGACCAGAGATGGACATCTGTTTTTCATGCTGTTATCATTCCTTGATTGTTTATGTATAAATGAAATGAAAAAGGATTTGCAAGGAAGAAGCAGTGATATTATCTGCTGGTTTTGCATATGTTTATGAAACCATTTTGTTTAAAGGGGATTCTGAGGAAATCCCATAGTTTTTCAACTTAGTTAACATACGTGCCTTAAAGAAGGAAAACTTAGAGTTGCATTTACTAGTTAAAAATTTGGTTGTTTGGGGCACATTATATGGGAATTAATAGGTGCAGTCCAGTGAATGTTAGGCTTGCATTTATTCCATTGAAATCCAAGAATTAGAACATTGATTTCAGGAGGAATTTGTTGCACCTAACTTCTGCAGGATTATGCCAAATATGTATTAGGCAAGAGTGTGTAAAAAGGGTTAAGCTTTTTTCTGTTTGGGATTTATCAGTTTTCCATGAAACATTTAAAAAACAAAATCAGTTGCTCTTCTCCAAGAGAAACTCAGCATATTATTTTTTCTCTCAGTAAAAATGGCCTTTGTATTTCAGATTTAGTTTAGTTGAAAATATAGGCTTTAGTCAGAACTACAAAGATGCAAAGAGTTAATTTCTTTGAAAGTCTGAAAGTGATTCTTTTGTTTTTTTGTTAGTTCCTGTGGCTTTTAGCCTCAGTGAAAAAAGTTGTATAAAGTCTTAACCTTTTTGTAAACACACTCTGGGGCGAATCATATAAATGTTGGCACTAAGTAATGTCTTGTTTGTGGCTGAATATTTTTTGTAGATGTTTTTTGAAGTTGACATAACTTACATGCATTTAAATATATATTGCCATTTTTAGTTAGTAATTACAATTTGAAATATGGTTGTGGATTTCTGAGCATGTTCAGACTGATCTAGCTAGTTCAGGAGTTGGTGCATGTATTTCAAGGATGAAGAAAATGTATTGCAAACTTTTGCAGAAAGATTAATAATTTTTTGGCAGTTTTCTTTATAAAAAAAACAAAAACAAAACTGACAACCAGGTGGGACCAAAGTTTATGTGCCTTTAGTCTTAATTTACCTTGCATTGTAATATTCAGTTTTAATAAATCTCTTCAAAATATTTTATATCTAGAAATGGATCTGCCTTTACTATAAACATGGCTCAGAATCTACAGGAAAAAAAAGTTCATTGGAAACAGTTCCTCTATCAATCTGGGCTGTTTTACTGATTCTGTTCAAATGACCAATACTTTTTGCAATTGATGTATTTAGTTCCAAGAGTCATAGATTATGTGTTATCTATGTAGAAAAAGGTCATGTATATTTTCTATTAGTTGAGTTTTTACATCTTTAGAAATGTAATATTTCAGTATAGTTTGAAAGCGGCACAATTAAAAATTAATTTTCTAACAAAGTTGGGAGGTTTGATGGTTGTTTAATTTCTTCTTATGTGTACGCTGCTTGCCTCTGTAGCATGCTCAATAAACACTTCTGTAGCTCTGTATTCACCTCTTCTGTCTTTCTCTGCTGCCTTTTCTCTCTTTTCTTCTTTTTTCCCCACTTCCACTGTGCTTTTGAATTCATGTTTATTCTCTGTCAGGGTGGGAAAAGCATAATAATCTGATTTTTTAAACTTCTGAATTTATGATCTATAAAAACCAAATGCTGTGCAAAGAAATAATACTTTGGACAGCATACACACTTTATTTATTTGGAAGTCTAACCACTTCGCTTATAGAAATGGATATTAAACATTTCCCACCCTGTTATATAATCTATAGCTTTAAAAACATAACTTTTTATCGTAGCTTGTAAGTTCTATCTTTTTTTTGTTTTTAAGATAGATTTATGCAGTAATTAACTTTTCAGATTTGCCATGCTTCTGCTGCAGTTTCATCTTCCATTTTCTGTGTCTGCTAAAAAAGCCTTTCCACTAATCACAGGTATTACGTGGGTTAAACAAAACTGTCAAATTGCTCAATGGAGGGAGGGGAAGGAGAAGAAAAAACGGAGGACAAACCTTGTCAGCTGCTAAATACAACTAAAAGGTGCTGAATATGTTATCCTACTAGTTTTACACTAGTTCAAATTCTAATTGTATATACATCCCCAATTATTTTTATGAGAACTATATTTAACAATTTATTTTAAAGCTTGATTTTTGCCTTTTTATCTGATCTAAATCTCAGTACACAATCATGTATGATTGGGATGTATTAATTTCGCTGGAGTTTAGCTTACAATTTCATACTAAAAATGAAACACATTCATGTTTACGCAATATCAATGACTTGTTTGAGGCTCTTCAGGAAACTTGAACTAATAATTTAAATTCAAACATCATTTTAATGAATCATTTTACATGAACTCAAAGACAATATCAAGGACTTTTAAACCTAATTATTTCCTAGGTACATGCCAGAACTCATTCACTTGTGCAGGAAGATATAATCCCAATTAATAACTTAGCCAGTCTTCATATATGCCTGTCAACAGAATTTGAGGAACAGGGGGGGAAATAATAAATTCCCTTCACCAAAAATGATGCAAGATTTGCAGTTAAATATCTACATTAAAAGTGTTATATACTTCGGGGTTTATTTTTTACCTTTCAAAAACAAGATTAGGTGATTTATAATAAAAAGCAGACATTAATGTAAACTGCACATAATTTTCAAAGAATGTAGTATAAAAGGTATCTTTTGTCATTTAACGTATTTGGAAAAGCAGCTCTCACACACAACAAACTGCTTTGCATTATGCAGTAGACTGACTTGATTGCTTATAGGACAAAAAGACAAGTGGTGTACTGCAGAGTCACTTAGCTTTGCAAAGTGGATGTGGATGTGGGGTGAACCCATGGCATTCATTCTGCAGTATTCCTCTTAGGCGCACACACTGCAAAAGTGCCCAAGGCTGTAAAAACTGGAGATGGATTTCTGGAGTAAAAAGCCCACAGTATATATGATTTCTGTTACCTTCCACTTTTGATTCCTACTGTTTCAGCATTTTTACTGGACTCTGTTCTTTTATTTAAAAAAAATGGGTTTCATATTTATATTTATCTTTCTTGAAACATAAAAATAAAATAGATAAGCATCTGGAACTAGGATTTTGGAATTTAACAGAAGACTTAAGTGTGCCAAGAATGTCCCTCTCCGGGAGTTCCTGATTCATCACGCTGAAAACTTTTGCTTTCAGAAGGTTTACACAAAAAGCATAAGAGAATCAACTGTGGTTTCATTTATTCTAACCAATAGGAAGAACCCCTAATAAAAGAAATGGAAGTAGCTGGAACAGTTGAAGGAAAATTAAAACTGAAAGTGGCCCAACATATTACATATTATATAAGATTATGTGCCCTGAACTGATGGAGTTCCTAAAAAATTACCAATCGCAGTAGCAAATCATTTCAATGAAGAGGGGAAAAATGAAAACAGTAGAAAATGTTAAAAGTGTAATAAAAGTTTTGAAAGCAAAGAGTGTACAGAAGGAAGATTAACAAATCATTACACAGGAAGCCAAGAATTATAGAAAATGATGATAGAATAGTTACAGTCCAGCAGTGGAGGCCAAGAACAATGGTAACAGAGCAAAATGTCATCAGAAATGTTCAGAATATAATTAAAAATAGTAAGTATAATAATAAGCCAGTATATCAGTTGCTTAATAAAGACAATGTAACACAAATAGGCAGCAAAGAAAAGCTAGAACTATTGCTTAATAAATTTGCATGTGTTACAAAATTGGATGGGATAATAAAGCAAAAGTAAAAAAGTGTTGGAGATAAGGACTGAATGAGTTTAATAGAGAAAAGGCAACATTATTCATTTAGACATATGGTTACACAGAATGGGATATCTAGCTGGACAAGAGTACTTTGTGGAAAAGATGTTGAAGGGTAGTTGATTAAAAATTAAGTAGGTGTCATCAGTGTAATACTGCCAATTGTAAATTTAGCTGAATGAACAATATTCCCAAATTACAGGAAATCATCGTTCCACTTTATTTTCCATTGGCTAGACATCAGCTCAAGTATTATGGCAGTTCTGGCAGTTTTAAGAAGAATTCAAACATTGGAACCTAATTCGTAGAAGGAAAGTTGAGAATAATTGGGGTGAAGGAAACAAAGCCATATGAAGAGAGATTGAAGAAACTCAGCATGTTGAATTTTGAGAGGCCTAAAAAGAGAATATAATACAAGTCTTCAAATATCTGAGAAAATACCACACAGGATGTCAAGATCTATCCTCAGTAGTTCCAGAGTGCAGAACATGAAATTTTGCATTGGATGTGCTTCATTGGAGGGTGGGGGGGGGGGGGGGGGAAATCACAACAGGTGATTGTGTTTACCTGAAAGTTGTGGTTTGACTTTAGAAAACAGAACTGTTTTGGAACTTGGGAAAAAACCTTCGCTCTCTCACTTTTCTTCCTATGACTACAAGAATAAATAGGATGTTTGTTCAGGCTCACTTCCAGCAACCACTGAATCTTTGGAGAAACCAGCCCTTATTTTATTTTTAATCATATAATATTTTCTAGAAATTGTACGGAAACAAAATGCCTACGACATTTGATATGCTCCTGAGAAATACCGATACAAGAGAATGTGAAGTGAGATCAGCTTTTTAACTTTTTCACTTCTATCATCCTTTCAGGTATCTTAAGAAGTGCAGTCAGGCAGAAAGTGAATTTTAATTAGCCCACAAACTTAAATATTTCTTTCAAAAATCTGTTAAAACCTCATAATCTTTTAATGTACATTGCCCAAATTTTATATTCAAACACCCAGATTATCTCAACCTGAATATTTACACGGAGATTCCATCTGAAAATTTATTTATCATATCCAATGTTTTACTCTTTAGCTTCGCTGTTTGGTTGCCTAAAATAGGTCTGCAGTTCCTGCTTCATGGAATGAGAAAATGAGTAAAAGAAAGAAGTGTTTCTATCAGAGAGAGAGAGAGAGGGAGAGAGATTGGATTAAGGAAGTACCCAGTGTTTTCTAATGCTGGCTATTTTTTCAGTTATTTCTAAAATATTGAGGAGAAAAATGAAAACACGGGCATCATTTCTCATCAAAATAGGGAAGCAGGTATTTGAATTCCCAAAGGGACAGAACTATACCAAACAGACAAACCAATATCCTTGAGTGTGTATTTCGTGTACAATGAACCATGGACGTAACCGCACGAGTATTTTGAAATTTTATCATGTTATCTGAAGATGCAGTTTTGAAGGGCAAGAGATGTTCTACCTGGCAACCATTGCCCAATCTCTGCAGATTTTGGTGTTGGCTGTCCAAAACTAGAGAAGCAAAAGCTTTACTCTGCCTTACTAAGCTAACAAAAGGAACCTTTCTCTTCCACTGGTCAAATCAATACACTAATCTGTGTAGAGTCTCAATAGCTTGGAATCAGGACTCTTTAACTATTGCTGGGAATGAAATGTCCATCAGATGGTGCTAATGCTTGCTCTACACTTAAGGATTTTGGTCAATGCATAACTCCAATGTAAGTTTGACACACACACACACCCAAAGGCTTTTTGGGGGATCATCCAAGTTTTTTTCTAACAAACAAATTGCACAACTTGGCCTATTAAGGCAAACTCTCACGGCAAGAATGACTGAAGTATAGAATCTGCCTTGACCCTCCCTCTCCACTCCTGGGTATTGAGGAGGCACCTTGAGTGCCTTGCCATGTTGATAGATGGAGTTCCACTGCATAAGGACTGCCAGGGCAATCAAATGCAACTTGATTCATACTTGATATGTTTCATTCACACAATAACTGTCTATGTCAGTATTAACACATGGTCTGGTTCCTCTTGGTCTATCCATTACTATCCATTTTGGATTCCGATAGAGTACCACAGGAGGCAGATCCTTTTCTTCCTGACTTTTACTTTCAGCCTCCTGGATTGCTAACAGAGAGCAGAAACCTAAAATGAGTGCCATTTAGCACCATTAGCTCCTCCAAATGCTGCTAAAAGCCCTTCCCCAAATACCGAAGCCATTCTCCCACCTCACCAACATAATAACTGGGGTCACCATAGCTGCTGCAGGAAGGCTAGGCCAATTATTGCATTCAGTAGTCATTCATTGCAAGAGACTTAGACCATAATGTTGAAATAACATTTTTTGAAACAAAACGAAATACTTTAAAAGGCATGCTTCGTTTCATCTTCAAAACAAAATATTTGAAATGTGGATTTCGGATCACAAAACACTCAAAATGCTTTCATGTTTTAATTATTTTGCGCACCTCTTCCAGTTGCTCCCCATCACTTGATAATTGTAAACAGATTGTGGACAGTTACGCTTTCAAAAATGTGGATTACACAGAGAATTTGACTCATTGACCTAAATAGTCTCTTTTAACACTGATTGTATTCGGTCAAATGTACTCATACTGA